CAAAGTTGTTTGACAGAAAAGTATAAAAAGCCTACGGTGGATGTTAGATCTAGATCAGGGGGTCTTGACAAGGCTGGTAAATAAATGTTTTAGTTTCAACTACACACAAACAGACCTTATTTAGTGAACAGATTGTATTAAACACATGAAATAGACTTTCTGTTTAGTAGAAAGAGTGAACTGTATTTCAAATTATTTAATTTTATTTCCTATTTGGTCTGATTCCAGAAATACATTACATTAAATAAGTCCATAACAAGAGGCTTCCGTGACAGTTTGAGTAAGAAGAATTAAACAATATAGTGCTTCAAAAGAAGACGGGCATATTAAATCATCTCATCCTTTATTCTATTTGCGTTTCATGGCTAGTGAATTAGATAGTGTAACTTGGACTTCGTATATAATAACAATAATAATAATATTTAGCTTTTATATAGCAATTAATACAATGTCTCTAAGCGCTTTACAAATATACTATTACCCCGGTCATTGGATTCAATGCTTGGATTCTGCCTGAATGCTCTAATTTGCTGAAGTGGACACAAACGCAAGATCTGGTTAGCATTCAGATGACTGTCCACCCATGTCACGGGTGGAAGGTGATGATGTTTTTTATCACGCTACTTATGCGCCTAGATTTGTAGAATGGTCTGAATTTGGACAATTTCCGATTTGTGTAATGGGCTAGAAGTGCTGAAAAGCATGAAAATCCATGATATTATAGTATTAATGACTGCTTTGAGAGAAATAGTTGTTTTTATACGCTCAAGGGAAGGTTACAATTGTGCTATTGCCCCGAGGCGTGCCGAGGGCAATATCCCAATTGTAACCTTCCCGAGAGCGTATAAAAACAACTATTTCTCGAATATTAAAGCAGTCATTAATACTTTTATATGCCGAAAACAAAAGAGTCAACTAATGACACCACCTTGGCCTTTCTCTAGTTTATCTGCACGGTTGTTTTTTACGAGTGTATCTTTGAGAGTAGACTAGATCTAGATTCTAGTCTAAGCAAGATATTTTTACAATTTTGGGGGTGGGCCGGCCCTGTGGGGAATAGAGAGAAGAACCTGCGCTTTCATATGAGACCTCACTTATTGAGTATCACCTTCAGGATCACAATAGATAAAGGTTTGAATCTCGAATTGAAAAAAAAAAACTTGACTTTTTTTGCATGGTCGCGCAATGCACGTAGACTGCATAGAGACTGCATTGCGTGTAATCTCTATGGGAAGAATATAGCACACAACATCGGGTGCGCGATCAGACACCCTGACAACTAGATCTATTTTCGTCTACGTCTATGCTGGTACTCCATTTTCAGCAACTAAACGAAAATGTTTATGGATAATTTCATGTACCTTTTTTGTTGTTCTTGCTGTCAGCGAGTCTTGCATTTGATAAGTTGAAATCTTGGGACAGTTTCTTTAGCCATTTTTGTCTTGTTTGGAATTGTCTTGTCTTGTATGAAAATACCGACCAATTCTTCGCACACGTACGGTATCCTCGATCGCTCAAACCATTTTTTAACATGTAAACCTATGGGGGTAACCATGGAGACAGAACTATTTTCCCGGTAACCATGGTTACTGGGAATTTTACAGAAATAGTTAAAGTTTATGAATGCAATTTCGACCAATCAGATGGCTGGATTTCTTAAGTGAGGTATATAATTTGTTTTATCAAATCATTGGCCACCTCACTTGAGCTGATGTCTATGCACAATGCACAAACTTTAATAAATTGGAAATTAGGTATGGGTGTTGAATTACTCGACAGTTTCATATTCTTGCAACAGACATTTTAGGCAAATGAATGCCTGCTTGATATTATTAAAATATCTCTGCTAAAATGAGCATTGATTATTTGCAGCAGTTGAAAATTTTCCTGGACAAGCATCAATATTGAAAGGCAGAAAGGGTCATCTCTGAAGGTACATGTATATGAGTTAGTGCCCTTCTGGCTCCAAATGGATGATACATATACATGAAAATGGCTAGTGATAGACCAGGAATATCATACACACATCAATATATGCATTTTTGCATCATATTTTCAAAACTACATATGCTTTGGCACTAGTAAAGAAAAGAAAAGAAATAAAGAAAGAGAGGGATAAAAGAGAGAAAGTCTATGCAACCAACTACATGTAGCATGTCAAGTGAGTGACTCACTTGCTAAAAGCTTGAACATGCTATACTCTAAAAAAGGCACTCATTTATACAATTCATTCATGACTTTAAATATACAGTTGTGCCCTTTCTCTGTGAGCCCTGCATATCAAATTGGCTATCTCTAATGGTGCCTGATGTATCAAACTATCAAGGCAGGATGGATCACATGATGCTCGGCTGCATCACATTTCATGCTCCAGAGGGCAGTGTTCATTGAAAAAACAATGTTGAAAGGAAATGGGCAGTGATGGTGATGTGAAAGAAATGGGATAATAGGTTAAATTGTACAGATGAAACAGCTTTAAAAACAAACTGACAGTTACTGGCATGACAAATAGCACAATTAGAGAATACAAAGAGCATTTCCAATCTGTAAATTCCTACTGAATACAAAGAAACCTCTTAAATAACAAACTAAACTAATAACTCTTGTTTCTTGATTTCTGTTGACATTTTTTATGGCAATCATTTAGGTTTAGATTTCTAAATAATTGCTTATGCTGTAGCTTAAATAAAAGCAGTGACGGTGATTTGAAAGAAATTGGATAATAGGTTTAAATGTACAGATGGAACAGTTTAAAAGCAAACTGACAATTAATACTGGCATGACAAATAGCACAATTAGAGAATACAAAGAGAATTTCCAATCTGTAAATTCCTACTGAATACAAAGAAACCTCTTAAATAACAAACAAAACTAATAATTCTTGTTTCTTGATTTCTTTTGACATTTTTTATGGCGATCATTTAGGTTTAGATTTTTAAGTAAATGCTTATGCTGTAGGTTAAATAAAAAGCAGTGATGGTGATTTGAAAGAAATGAGATAATAGGTTTAAATGTACAAAAGGAACAGTTTTAAAAACAAACTGACAGTTAATACAGGCATGACAAATAGCTAATTAGAGTATATAAAGAGCATTTCCCATCTGTAACTTCAAACTGAATAACAAACAAATTCTCTTAACTAACAAACAAAACTATTAATTCTTGATTTTTAATTTATTTTGTCATTTTGTATGGCAATCATTGAGGTTTAGATTTCTAAGCAACTGCTAATATCTGATGGAACAGTTTAAAAGCAAACTGACAATTAATACTGGCATGACAAATAGCACAATTAGAGAATACAAAGAGCATTTCCAATCTGTAACTTCCTACTTAATACAAAGAAACCTCTTTAATTATAAATAACATACAAAAGTAATAATTCTTGTTTCTTTATTTCTTTTAACATTTTTTAAGGCAATCATTTAAGTTTAGATTTCTAAGTAACTGCTTTATATGATTGATCATATGCTGTAGGTTAAATAAAAGCAGTGACAGTGATTTGGAAGAAATGGGATAATAGGTTTAAATGTACAAAAGGAACAGTTTTAAAAACAAACTGACAGTTAATACAGGCATGACAAATAGCTAATTAGAGTATATAAAGAGCATTTCCCATCTGTAACTTCAAACTGAATAACAAACAAATTCTCTTAACTAACAAACAAAACTATTAATTCTTGATTTTTAATCTATTTTGTCATTTTGTATGGCAATCATTGAGGTTTAGATTTCTAAGCAACTGCTAATATCTGATGGTGATTTGAAAGAAATGGAATAACAGGTTTAAATGAACAGATGGAACAGTTTAAAAACAATTAGAGAATACAAAGAGCATTTCCCATCTGTAATTTCCTACTGAATACAAAGAAACCTCTTAAATAACAAACAAAACTAATAATTCTTGTTTCTTGATTTCTTTTAACATTTTTAAGGCAATCATTTAGGTTCAGATTTCTAAGTAACTGCTAATATGATTGATCATTTGCTGTAGAAATAAAAGCAAATACTTTCTTTTCACAGGTTATCGAAATGTTAAAATTAGAATTTTTGTTTCATAACAATAGTTAATATGTAAGAGAAGAAAGATCGCTTCTATCTATCATGTCTAACAGAACTTTAACAGTTTTTGTAACTGCAGTAAATGTGCAACTTTTTAAAGAATAATATTCAAGAAACTGTTGATGAGGTAAAAGTAGATGGAAAAAAAAAAGTGACTTCCAACCTCACCTAATAACAAAAATAAATTTAACGAGCCATATTACATGAGAGTACCCTTCAAACACCATACAATATCATATCCTTTCACATTGTACCATACAAAGCCATTACATTGCACAAAATCAAACCATATCCCATAGCCCTTCAACAGACTATAATACTATAATCCTATATCACACATAATGCACCAGTTTCTAACAATATGATAAGATTTCTTATCGGCCAAAGTTACTTGATAGCCACTATCGCCCCTATACAAAGAAAACACCCTCCCCTCCTAAAAAGACCCAATTTTGTTTAAGTGAGAGCAAAATCTATTGTGTAGTTGCATTTCATATGAAATTGAGCACATATTTTTGCCAAATTTCAAATTGTGTGTACATGTATGTTGAACCTCAACAATACAATATAAAAACCATGTTGCATGACACTGCACCAGACTTTCTCATGTACACCAAAATCTTAACACACAACTGCATGCATATAAAACTAACTCTTTATTGGAAGGTCTCTATCCTGTTACTGTGAAAGTGCTTTAATATTTGTGCTGTATGTACACTGCATATCTCCAATGTAATGGAAAGTGATCATTTTTATTTTGAAAAGCTGTCAGTGGTAATCCTGAATGTACATGTACATGTCAAGTAACGCCTGGCTAGAATGCTCCCCAGGGAGTGGAGATTGTGCACACAGTGTGTGCGGCAAGTATTGAGATGTATAGAGCGCTATATAAAAGCAGAATATTATTATTTTTTAAAATTATGATTGGATGAACTCACCTTTGATTGCCATACTAGTCGGTAGGGATGTGAGAAATTGAGTCTCTCCATGACCCTCTGGACCGTTGCACCCACCTCTGCAGGGTACGGGTCACCCCTGTTCACTACCTGAAACACAACAAAATCAAGAGTGGACAGGTGTTTGGTCTTCAAACACAATAACTACAATTAAAGTTCATAAATAGCAACTATAACTATTATTAAAGGTAAAGACCAGTTTTGGATACGCCCCCCCTCTCAAAAAATGAAATGGTAGCTCTTATTACCAATCATGTGAAAGAATATGTTTTGACTAATACGTGATGATACAAATTTTGCAGAGAAGCCGTCTACTTATTGATATATTTGGTAAATTAACTTTATCAATTTGGACAAGATAGATATTACGACTTGTGCGCACGTGTGCGTAGTCCCATATACATCTTTCTGTGTACAGTGCTTGTAACTTCACCAAGACTGGGCCAAATTTCTTATCATTTTGATGATTCCAGAACCTTGCAGTAAACACCAATGCTTATATGCTAGATCAGGCCTGTGCTAGATGATCAACCTTTTCTGATCAAAACCACAACATTTATTTTACAATGTAATCGCATGACCATTTGGATTGAGTTATTATTATTAAATATTTGGATTTAATTGTTATCAAATATTTGTGTTTTTTTTAAAATTATTTACTATTTCGCTTAACCCTTCAGGGCACTGGAAGGTTATTCAAGCAAAATGAATCACTGTTACTCTGTACAATCCACATGTAATTGATTGAGATATGCAGACCTGTGTACTATTAAATACAGTGATTTTGTCTAACTCTTCAGTCATCCCAATAGGTTTGATTTGAACCACAATCTTTGATTCAACAGGCATACACTCTACCAACTGAGCTCACTCTCTTCAATTGCAATAAGTCAATATCTCTTTATCTCTCGCTTTATCTGTCTTTCTCTATTTCACACTGTTCCTGGATCTCCTGTGCTGTGTGCACTTTTTTCCTCCCTACCTCTCTTCTATATTTCCTTCAAGCCCTATGATGATTATGATGATTGTGGAATAGTTGCTGTTAAGCAAATTTTATGAATTTTATTAATTTGTATATATATATATATATATATATATATATATATATATATATATATATATATATGTACACTGATGTAGTTAGAAAATTCATTCACTGTGTGATATGTATTAATATGATTTATGTTTGTATAAATATTTATGTTTTTACACAATGTACAAAATTCTGCAATTCAGCCATCTGGCTGCAAATGAATTTTCAATAAAATCATTACCATTACCATAAAAAATCATTGTGGCTTCAACACTAAATAATAATCATACTAATAACCCCTTTTGCATCACCAGATTAAAAGAGAAAAGAATTATAATTATCATGTTTGTGGTTTTAATTCACGCATTTGATTACTGCTTTAAGTATCTTCCATGGGAATAACTGTCACAAGCAGGTACCTGTTTCTTTTAAAGGAACAAATGATAGGGGACCTCATAAGATATGTCACAGAGTTGCCAACTTGTGTTTGATCGATTGCTACTTTTTATTGGATATTGATCAAATTTTCCATGACCTGTTTCTCTCATTTTTCTGCTTCTATTAAAACCAGCTCAGTATCAGGATGGAATTCCCCTTTATATTAAAACACTTTGTCAATGCCCATGGGGGCATGACACAACAATGGTAGAGCAGTTGGCTCTTAACCACAAGGTCCCAGGTTCAAACCAAGTAGATGCTTGTGCTCTTTGATAAAGCATTGATCCTCAAGTACCAAGCTCCTTGGTAAAGCCATAGGCTGGTTGCCTATCTACAAGCGTAATATCTGCTTTAATAGCAGTCTGGTAAACTATAAATCATATCATATCACATAGTATGTTAACAATTTGTATTTGTATGATACTTACTGACATAGGAAGTGAATGGGCAGAGAACAGGATGACTACATCATCTTTTACATCTGCAGGAAATTTTTCAAGTTCTGCTTGTACATGTTGACTGAAGGCCTGAGAATAGAAAACAAAACAGTGCTCAGGACATATGAAATAATAATTCAAATCAATGAAAATTGAAGATTCCTATGAATTATATTTTCTGAGGACATCATTGAAATCATTACCCGGTAAGTTTAAGAATTGTCTGTACAACCTAAAAATATATATCTATTTTTTTAAACGGAGGAGAAAGAAATGCCTCCAGTAGTCCTATATTAAAAGCTTCCAAGAGTCAAGGCTGTATAAAGATAAACTAAAACTAAGAATCTAAAAGATTTAAAGATAAAGTTGAGTTCTGGTCATGCGATTGCATCGTGAAAGAAACGGTGTGGAATCGATCAGAAAAGGCTGACAATCTAGCATATAAGTATTGGTGTGTACTGCAAGGTTCTGGAATCATCAAAATGATAAGAAATGTGGCCCAGTCTTGCTAAAGTTACAAGCACTGTACACATAAAGATGTATATGGGACTACACAAACATGTGGCATAAAAATCTGTCCCGATTTTTATGCTGTTACATGCCATATTTAAAATATTAAGGCATTTGAAGAGCCATGCTTTTCAGGAACATCTTTTATCTGATGTTCTTCCACGCTTGCATAATAACAATAAAGACGTTCACAAATTAATTTTAGAGCTTGGTTATTTTCTTGCTGGGACACTATCTTTGAGTCTGGTGACTGATCTGAGTTCAAGCTACATTACAACCTGATGTGCAGGCTTAACAATTTGAATGTTGCTTTATTAAGACTTCTTACAGCTACCAACCTCTACAAGCCCTGCATTCACTGGCCACCTGTCTATGACGCTCCATTTCATTGTACTGTTAGCCACCATCTCTGGGTTCTTGGCATAGTGTCTGTAGATTGCGTTCAGACTGCTGCCTGTTGTTGAGCAACTGTACTGAGGGTATTGTGTGAACGCAATCGCTCTCTCTATGCCATCTCTGATAAAAGAGAAAGAAAGCATCAGAAGTGTGAATGTACAGGGGGGGGGGGAATTAAAAACAATGTTGCAGAAAGGTACAGAGGTCAGAAATTTGATCTTAATGTATTGTATATTGTATATAATGTGCTTATAATAAACTCTCTATGTCATAGCTGATCTGCTTTAAAACCACTACAACAGATCTATTACAGTTCATAACTAATAATTAGATTTTTATTTAAGACACAGTTAGAAAATCACAATTCTTATCTTTAGTAAATATCTTTATCTCTTCAATTTGAGTATACATGTAAGCAAGAATTCAGAAAGAACTACTCTAAAACTTAACTTTAAATCCAAAATTAAAAAAAGTCCTCACTCTACATCCTTAACAAAACATAGCCCAAAATGCAAGAGAACATATTGGATCCCCAAGTTAAACATACATGTGTACACTGTACAGAAGGGTAATCTATATGTATGAACAAAAGCTCACCTTTCCATTTGGTCTATAGTATCTTCTGTGAGTGGGTTCACATATCTGAAACCAATGTAGTACTTGTGTGGAGCTGAATGAAACAAGAAAACAGAGATTTATTGGTTTGGGAGAAATTTATTTATAAGAAATGGCATATGATGTTTCTGTTTGACAAATGAATATCAATAAGATAAAAGTTTTCCTTAAAAAGAGAAGCAACAAGTATACAAGAAAAGGCTCACTGTATGAAAATGAATCTTAATAGAGTTCCAATTCTTCCATTCTGATTCATTTCATGCCCATACTTGATATTTGAGTATGCATAATTCTAAAATTTATGTTTTTGAACATGTTTTTGAAACCTTACTGAAAGCCTGTCTAGACTTATCTTGTTTCCCAAATCAAATCAAGATGAAAAAATTACCTTGAAAATTCTAAACTAAAAGCTCTCATTGTTTATGAGACAATCAACTCTCAAGGGACCCCGAACAACACCAAAACCCAGACAAAAACTCAATAACTGCAGCCCACACAAAGATCTTGATATCAAAAGCCTTTTATGTCGCGGATGAATTCATGTGGAAAGTCTAGGGTAAAGTTCAGTGACGAGTTCCTTTTGTTGCAAACACCTATTAAAATACAATCAGTTGGATTGTCACTCAACCCAACTTCTACACTCTCATGTATGTAGCATCAATGTTAGAATATTAACTTTTTATTAGTTTGCTTTCAAGTTTCAATCTAAGGTAGAGTTAGAAATCACCAGAAAATTGACAGTTCATCGATCATATATTCTAAAAGTTCTTCATTAAAGTCATGAGTAGTTTGCAGCATTCTACCTGATATCTATTCGGATTTCTTGGGATTATCCTAGATCTACTTTGAATGAGCAAGAAAGTGTGAGTTCCAAACTTTGTATTATTGTTATTCTGAGTAAAGAACAACAGTTCACACATAACAACAAAAGAGCCTTTTTTTTAAAGGAGTGCCGGTATAAAAGTCTTTTCAAATACAATTTTTGTTTATTTGGTAATGTTGTGTAGCATAAAAGACAAGATTTGAGAGACAAATCAAAAATAAATGTTTAAAGTTCTATTCATTTTTAAATTGTTCTTACGCTCTCCAGGCACGACAGATTGAACATAATAAAAAAACATCTCTATTTTACTCTAAAATTCCACCTCCTTAGGAGAAAAAAAGAACGACATTTACAATGTATTAGGGTACCAGATTTGAAAAGAAACTTGGAATTCTTCAACTCTTATCCACCACTAATCACCGGACCAAATTACCCTTTTCACAAATTTTTTGAACAAAATAATTACGGGAGAAACGAAAGACATGATGATGATCCGATTCTTGCTACTACAACTACGGTATTCGGCCATAGAGGGCAGCACTGGCCATGGGTATATTTGTAGAGTGCACTTCCAGTTCCCATACAAATACAATGGGTCAGGAACCTGAAAGTCTGATAGAAAAAATTAGAAATTATAGCTTTGGAACCTAAAATTATGTGCCTTCAAATCATGGAGGAATTCATAAAAACCTGAGAAAAAATTAAGTAAAAAATATAATAATACAGCACCATCTTACTCCAACACTACCAATCTCTTCTGAATATAATCCTTGCGTACTATTCCCAAAACAAACCTTCATTTTGTGTTGCTTTCTCAAATCAAGAAGGATAAGAGTAGGATAGGCAAAGACAGCCACCACAATGTTAATAATACGATGACCTTGAAATTTAGAACGTGTGGTACCCATATGCCCATTATTAATTGAAATTTGTTGATAAAGGCTTGGTAGTTGCTAAAATCAAATTAATCAATACACAACAACGACACTTAAATATACTGTAAAATTTACAGGTAGTCAGGTACAATACATAATATGTATTGTGCCTGTTTCTATATATAGATTCTGAGATTCTGAGGCTATAATAGCAAGTGTATATTATACACTCGCTATTATAGCCTCAGAATCTATATAGAAAAAAGGGTCCTGATGCATACATGTACCTGAAGTTTACAATGTAAAAGTATACAAGTAATACCATTTTTCTTTAAACGGATAACAGTATTACACAATTTGTTTAAACTTCATTACCTAACCTAAGTGAACCAAAATTATCTCTGGTGACATTTGCTCCTGCCCTTGTTTTGTTAAAGCTCAGATACAAATGTAGGGTCAGGGCTTGAACTTTGTGAATGGTTTTAAGTTATATTTATGATTATGGTTAGGGGCTAGGTATAATATTGGATCGAGGATTGAAAGTGAGAACCGACTATAGCACTAGAAACTGACTAATGACACATTTTTGCTATGTTTACTTTTACTATCGATCATTAAGATTTTTTACAACTCACTCCTAGATCCTATACAAATGATGAGTCAAACGCGATTACGTGTTGATCATTTACTGACACTATCACCGTTTTTTCATTAAACAACGTGCAATAGTTTTCAGAACTATTCAACGATCAAAATCAAAATCAAAATCAAATCAAAATCAAACTAGATGGAATTCGACTGCGCGCAGTCGAAAATGATGCCTCCGTTATAGAGCAATTTTACAAACCAAAACAGAAAAAAAAAAATTGAATTCACGTTCAATGGTAATCCATTGACAGGTTCTCAGAATATTGTGATTACAAGCAATTTCTCATATACATATATGACCCTTTGATCTTTGACCTCATGACCATAAAATCTACTCAGTTCATTGGCTCTGCAAGATGTTCTGAGTTAAATAGTAATCCATCTGTCAGTTCTAATGAGAATGCGTTCACAAGCTATTTTTGCATACATAATGGGCCCATGACCTTTGACCTTTGACCTTATGAACCAAGAATCTACTCAGTTCATTGGCTCTGCAAGTAACAAACATGACCTAATTTTGGCATGAATCCATCAATCGGTTCTTGAGATAACGCGATCACAAGCTGTTTTTGCATTCATAATGTGCGCTGTGGCCTTTGACCTTTGACCTACGTGCTCCAAAATCTAATCAGATTGTCTTCCTATGGTGATACACACTATCATTAAGTTTGAAGTTTTTACATCTCCAGTGGTTCTTGAGATATCATGATAACAATCTCAATGTATGGAATTTCATAAGTTGACCTCTGTGACCCTTGACCTTTGACCTACGTGCTCCAAAATCTAATCAGATTGTTTTCCTATAGTGATACACACTATCACTAAGTTTGAAGTTTAAATCTCCAGTGGTTCTTGAGATATCATGATAACAATCTCAATGTATGGAATTTCATAAGTTGACCTCTGTGACCCTTGACCTTTGACATACGTGCTCCAAAATCTAATCAGATTGTTTTCCTATAGTGATACACACTATCACTAAGTTTGAAGTTTAAATCTCCAGTGGTTCTTGAGATATCATGATAACAATCTCAATGTATGGAATTTCATAAGTTGACCTCTGTGACCCTTGACCTTTGACATACGTGCTCCAAAATCTAATCAGATCGTCTTCCTATGGTGATACATACTATCCTTAAGTTTGAAGTTTAAATCTCAAATGGTTCTTGAGATATCGCGCTAACAAACTCAATACAAGGAATTTCATAAGTTGACCTCTGTGACCTGTGACCTTTGACCTACGTACTCCAAAATCTAATCAGATCGTCTTCCTATGGTGATAAATACTATTCCCGAGTCTTAAGTTTAAATCTTAAATGGTTCTTGAGATATTGTGATAACGGTCAAACGGGACGGACGTACGGACGGACGTACGGACGGACAACCCGAAAACATGATGCCTCCGGCACCACCTTCGGTGGCGGAGGCATAAAAAATCAAATCAAAATCTCTTTTCGTAAATTTCGCGATATTGATATTAATGTCTTTCGCACTGATATATTAAATTCACCTCTGTATAAATCTCCCGCATCTGAATTGGACAACCTTGTTTGTCAATATGACTCTGTTCTAAATGACCTTAAAGACAAGCATGCACCTTTAATAACTCGCACAATCAGGTGTCGTCCTAACGCACCTTGGTTCAATGAAAAATTACATGAAATGAAACGGATCTTACGACGCCTTGAGCGACGTTGGATTGCTTCTAAATTAGAAGTTGACAGACAAATTTTAAAAAACCAATGTTATGAATATAATCGCATGATCAAACAATCTAAACAAAACCATCATTCAAAACAATTTGAAGGCTGTAATTCAAAGCAGCTATTTCAAAAGTCAACAAATTGTGCATACCAAAAGTATCCAAGGTGTTACCTTCTGGCGATTCTGATCTTTCACTTGCTGAACGTTTTTCTGACTTTTTTACAGGCAAAATTCGGAGTATCAAAAATGTTCTTAAGGATTCATCAAAAACGGATGTTTCCATATACATGCTTGATTCATGCAATTCTTCATTTTCTGAATTTTCACCAGTATCAGAGGATACTGTCAGAGTTATAATAATGAAGTCTCCATCAACTTCATGTAGTCTCGATCCAATGCCGACATGGCTGCTTAAAAACTGTTTAGATGAGCTTTTACCAGTCATTACCAAAATTATAAACATGTCTATTCAAAGTGGTCAATTTCCCGATGTTTTGAAATCGGCACAAATCACCCCTCTTTTGAAGAAACCAAATTTGGATTGTGAAATTTTGAAAAACTATCGGCCTGTTGCCAACCTTAAGTTTCTTGCTAAAACAATTGAACGTGCTTGTGCTTCTCAAATTCAGGGCTATCTATCATCAAACAATCTGTGTAGTAAAATGCAATCTGCTTATAGATCTTCTCATAGTGTTGAAACTGCTCTTTTACGTGTATATAATGATTTGTTGTTAGCTGTGGACCAAGGTGATGAAGCTGTTTTAATACTTTTAGACTATTCTGCGGCTTTCGATACTATCAGTCATGATGTTTTTCTTGATCGCTTACGTAATAGATATGGTGTATCAGGTACTGCCTTGAATTGGTTTAAAACATACTTTATGAATCGTTCACAATCTATTGTCATTAATGACTCATTATCCAAACCTCATGTTCCACTTGAAGGTGTTCCTCAAGGTTCCGTCATCGGACCTTTATCATTTACTCTGTACACTGCACCACTTGAAGATATTATTGAAGCGCATGGTTTGGGCCGAATGATATATGCAGATGACACCCAAGTTTATGTTGTTTTGAAACGTGATTCTGACCATTCTGTTATTACTAAACTTGAAAGATGTATAAATGATATCAAAGCTTGGTCCACTGCTAATGATTTGAAGTTAAATGAGGATAAAACTGAGGTTATACATGAAACATCTCGATTCAGAAAGTCCTCCTATTTACCATCTGTCGAAATTGCTAATGTTCCGATACAACCTGTCAAAAGTGCACGTAACCTTGGTGTCATCTTTGAAAATGACCTTAGGATGGATGATTATATAAAAAATATTTGTCGCTCAGCTTCATATGCCTTGTACAAGATAGGTCGTACTAGAAATTTTCTTGATCAAAAATCTACCGAAACGCTTATACATGCATTTATTATTTGTTATCTTGATCAATGCAATAGCCTTCTTTATGGCCTTCCGGACTCGCACATTGCGAGACTCCAGAGAATCCAAAACTCTGCTGCCAGGCTTGTAACACGCATGCGTTCTTGTGAACACATCACCCCAGTACTTCGCGAATTGCATTGGTTGCCGGTGAGGTACCGCATTATGTACAAAATCTTAGTTTTAACTTATAAATGCATTCATGAATTGGCACCAATTTATCTGCAAGAATTAATTGAGGAATACAAACCCTCACGCAGTTTACGGTCATCTTCACAATTAAACCTTGTATCTACTTCTGTGTCAACTCTTTCTTATGGTAATCGCTCCTTTCGCAAAGCTTCTGCTGAACTTTGGAACAGATTACCTTTAAATGTAAAAAACTGTCAAACTGTTAACCTATTCAAAACTAGTCTCAAGACACATTTATTCAAAATTGCGTTTGATGATTAATTAACTCTGTTCACTTTGACGTGTATTCCATATGTATTGTAATTTGTATGTCTATTTGCATTTTTAGTTTTGTATAAGATGTAATTGTATATCAGTCTATTTTGTGTGTATAGCGCTTAGAGACTTCGGTGGTAAGCGCTTTATAAGTAACGTTTTTATTATTATTATTATTATTTTTAAGTACACGATGCGCAGTAAGTGCGTGGAGAGGTTAAATGCGCTTTCTGCGGGTGCATATTAAGCCTGATGGCTTTGTGTGGTAGATGCATACAGCTTCAACTCAAGTGCGGATAGATAGTAACAAGAACTCAAATGCATTTACCATTTCCTATCTTTTCACTCATTTGGAATGAGGGAGGAGAAGACATTTGCTTACCTGTTTCAGGTGATAGTTTGTCTAGTAATTTCACAAGCCCTTCTCCTTGTAACTTGGTCCATTTCTTGATAGGAGAACCTCCTCCAATCTTCTTGTACTGGGCCTGGATCTTGGGAGTTCTTCGTCTGGCTATGATGGGTGCCAATTTACTAGATAAATAGATAAAGACAACAAATATTACTAAGATAAACTAGATGGATCTTCAACTACGTGCAGTCAAAAATGATGCCTCTGCCATAGAGCAATTTTACAAACCAAAACAGAAGCAATTTTTAAAATTCTAGTTTTATTGTCATTCATTAACAGGTTCTCAGAATATCGTGATTACAAGCTTTTTTTTCATATACCGTAATTAACAGTGTATTAACTGCACCTTTTTGCCCCCAAAGAAAATGCGAAGTCGGGGGTGCAGTTTATACACGGTACACAAAAAAAAATAATTAAGTTTCGATTTATGCCCCTCCACCTGGCGCTATGCCTGGCAATGTCTCCCAGCTCAGTTATCGGTGTGTTGACTCACCACTCGGAAACTAGAACCACACTCAAATTTGTCTGTCATCTTGGTTTGAAAGTAATCTTTCTGATAGATTTCAATATGTAGTTTATAATAATAATTCCTCCAATTTTTCTTCTATTACACGGCGTACCACAAGGTTCTATCCTAGGTCCTCTACTGTGTTTTAAGTCGGCAAAAAAAAAAATCAGCAAAAAAAAAATGTGGCGAAAAAGAGGGGTGCGGTTAATACACGAGGGCGGTTTATACACCGTTAATTACGGTACATACATGACCCTCTGATCTTTGACCTTCACATCCCTTGATAGCTTTTTTCTCTCTTCCATTTCAAGTAAAAGGTGGGAAACCGTAGGGTAGTTCTTGATTCCTTAATGCATTCATTGCTTACAACTTTACATAGTTAAGCACAAAGAATATGTGTTTGAAAATCATCATGCAAGTTCCAACCTAAATGTGGCTCTATGACACCTGCTCTGGCAATAATTTCTCTGCCATCTTAGAATTCCTAACTTCAACACTTGACCGATACCACACCTATCCCTAACTTACAACCCAGTTGCAACCCTATCCATAACCCTAACCCAAACCTAAAACTCAGTTGCACTCTTACACATGAAACGCTAGATATAAACAAACAAAATGAAGTCAGGTGTTACTACACCCTACAAATACTAGCAGTATCCTGAACCTACCTCTGAGCTGGTAGAGGAATGATATCCTTGTCCATGAAGAGACGAAGAAGAAAGTCATGGACTTCATCAGTGTTCTCTGGACCACCCATGTTCAACATCATGATACCTGTCTTGGCTTTCCTACAATCAAAATAAAATACATGATGTTTGATACAAAATATGAAATTTAATAATGTGGTTTAAACTCAACAAGGCTAGTTATAATAAACTGGGGCGGCATATAATCCAAGCAAGCTTTTCATATCTTGTAAAAGATAAGACTAATATTATAGTGTCACTGGATGAGCTAAATAAAATCAACATTTTGAGTACTCCATTAGTTTGTTCCTCAGACATCTTGAGCAAAGTACAACAGCTGTAAAAGATAACAAATATCTGCCCAAAACCCCTCCACAATGTAAGTGGAAATTGTGTTCTTGTAATTTCAAAAGAAATGTTTTGTACATAGGCCTGCCTAATTCAAATATATAAGTGGTTCATGGCATTGCTTATCAATATTAGAAGAGCATTACTTCTTGAATGTACGGTAGGTCATATGATACCAACCTTTCTTTCTAATTCAAATAGTTTCATAGCGCCATTCATAAATGGTGTGGTAGCAACTTACTGGCTTGTTTCCTGGCCACTTGCATCGGCTCTTTGACAAACTGAAGTGGAGATCAATCTTGACTCCTGTACTAGCATTCCACCAACACATCTCTGGAGCATGCTGGGTCCTGCATAACAAGATTGAGGTATGTACAAACATAAAATAAAGAAAGGAAAATGACAAAATGTGTGCTAATCAGTTCACTTGATTAGATGGCATAAGCATTGAACATGCAAGAAGTGAACAAATTAGTGCACTAAAATAAAGCATCCAAAATCAAAACATCTTTATGTTACACTACGCACTAAAACAGCAAAGTAAGCAAAGCAATATATCGTTTGTGGTAATTTTTTCTTCTTTATTGAATTTTTTTCTTCTAATTCCGCGATTGTGTGTATATTCCGGCGGATGGGAAGGGGAGCGTATTGGCAGATGCCAAAGCCAGTTCTTTTGGTTTTGCATCTGTAGATGGGTTTACGGTTATCTAATCCTTAATAAAAATACCCTTTTTTTATCAGGTCTCCAAATACATGTAGATAGGTACATGCCAGCCATTAGGCTTGTGATTTTAAATTTAATAAATCACCAAGCCCATTTAGCTGGAAGGGTAGTAGTCACCAAGATCATGACGGACAAAATATACAGTTCCTCATTCTACCCTCAACAATTGCTATGGTCAGGCACGTACGCAGGGGGGGGGGGGGGTTTGGCGTGAAACCCTTCCCCTCTATTTATGTTGTGCGTGTATTATGTGTGTATTTTTTAGCAAACCCCCCCCCTCCCCCCTTTAAAAAAAATTTAAAAAAAGTGTTATTAACTTACTGATAAGGGTCTGGAAATATTCATTTTGAGATCAGATATCCTCAAAATTTTAAGTAAGAAGTGGTAATATCTGATTGTATGATATCTTGCCTGGCAAATTATGAAATTACCTTAATTTTGATGGATCACATTTAAAAATAAATCAGCTGTAAACTTCTGTGCGCATGTTTGAAGTAAGGCATCGTTGTTTTTATGACTTTATTAGTTGCAGCGCGCACCCTTTAGAAAGTGGTATCTCTGCATTCCTTTGACAATAAATTTTCTAGTTGAACCCATTTGTAGTAAAAAACTTTGCTGTCCATTTAATAATAGTTGAAATAAATAAATTTGTGTAGAACACCAAAAACATAGATCGAATATCACACTTTCTAATATTTTCAAAATCTCTGCGAACATTTTAAATCTTTACAATACTTTCCATATTTATCATAACAATAAAACTAGTATACAAAAGGATCTTTAATATCAATATTAGTAATAATATGAAAAATAGAGATAGGAGCCTAAATACGATGATGATAATAATCATAATAATCATAATATATGTTATAATTAATATTGAATAATAGTTATAACATTAATATTCTAAATAGGCCTAGCCCTAGGCCTACATGATCTAGTCTAGATCTAATGATTAATAAACCTAACTACTAAATCTACTGTACTACTACTATTACTACTATTAATAATAATAGTTAAAGGACAAGTCCACTCAAAAAATAACTTACCAGTACCTTCAATAAAAGCAGAAAAATCAGACAAACCAATCAAAAAAAGTTTGAGCAAAATTGGATAACTAATAAGAAAGTTATGAATTTTTGAAAAAGTATCTAAAACTATGGTACAATGAGAATCACGACACAAATCGCCAAGATCAGTTTGTGACGTCATGTCCTCACTATTTATCAATTGCTCTATATGGTTTAATCCCATTAATTTCCCTTTTTATTCCCCAAAACTTGATTTCCCCATGCCTTTGCCCAGGTTATATGATTTGTGTCATATTGCGTGCATGACATTTCACAAAATCTTTTATGAACTTTGAAGAATCTATATTATTTTCTGAATATTGTATATTCATAATTATTGATTTTTATATAAATAGTTTATAAAAATTCACATTTTTGATAATTTAACTGGAAACAATTACATCATATTAGTGCATCCACACAAAAACATATTACTATTAATCTAACTTGGATGCTGGTGTGAAGAAATAAGATTCTTAAGGAGAAAATAGACAATTTATATCATTAATATAAAGAAAATAATTAGTGGATAGTGAGGACATGACGTCACGGACTCATGAGTGAGTTCGTAATTTGTCTAGTGATTTTCAAAGTTTTTAATGTCATTAAAAATTCTTAACTTTCTTATTAGTTATCCGATTTTGCACAGACTTTTTTGCGATTGGTTAGTCAGATTTTTCTGCTTCTATTGAAAGTAAATTATTTTTTGGAATGGACTGGGCCTATATTACTTTGTAAAAGCAACAAATACATCATGATCATATCCCGAGTTGATCGAACTTGCCCACACTCCACCAAAGCAAAGAGAGTCAATGCTAATGCATATTGACCTCTAGCACTGCATACTTGCTGAGAGGCAGGTATAATACACAAATACACACACCACACACTATTGCATAGACTGCACACAAATAGAACCGATGTTGCTGATCGGCAAATTTGACACTAGACCGAATTTTTCTGTCTCTTTTGTTCGTTAGCCTCTGATTTGGGTAGGAAAAACTGTGCACGAGCTATGAGTTCGTAATGACATGCAGTTTTTCCGTTATAATCATTTTGCCTTCGGCGTAGACTAGAAGAGACGCAACCCGGCTACATTGTCCAGTCAAGATGCAACCTCTTGCCCCTCTGCCTCCCTTGCATATAATGAGAATTATTATTAAAGAGTATGAGTTCAAGAAGATAGACCAAGAAGATAGACCTGGAAGCTCGACTGCTGTCTCAGCATTCTTCCAGTATTTGCGGTAAAGGTAAAGGTAAAGGTAAAGATTTTCTTCATGGATGTCGATCTTGACCCATAATTTCCTGAAAAGGGACCATTAAACGGATCGAAGTAGTCAAGTTGGTAAGTGGAACCGAAGTAGTTAAGCATGTAGATAATTTAGGGATATAAATACATCGGATATGCATCCGGTAAAATATCAAAATTAGGGATTAAGTTTGGCCAAGTTTTGTGTAACGTTTCTTTACACAAACGCACGTCCACTACAGCGTATAGGGATGTTCTGTCTCTAAAAAGAGAGCTGACCTACCTAAATAAATCAGAGGCTAACGAACGAAAGAGACAGAAAAATTCGGTCTAATTTGACACTAGACTTACAATTTGAATTTTTTTAAATTATTCTTTTTAGAATTAGAGTCTAATTCTAAGATTCTAACATCATTAAGTTGTAAAAATTGTATTTTACTGCTATTTAGGTGTCATCAATTGTCACTAAAGTACCGATTTTTAGTGAAATCAGTTGAGTTGTGTACAGTGGTTAATACACAGCCAGGATAGTAATGCAGCTTGCGCTTGCCCAAACTATTTTGAACACCCAACCCCCGGTCCCCTTCCCCTTAATTAACTAACGCAAATTAGAATAGCGTGGGACTGAAGATAAAATTATGCAACTTTTTTTTTCCGGGTTCAGCCGTTTTTCGAACAAGTTATATGTAAATCACAGCAAAAATGTACAATACATAGGTCTAAATCACAGCTCATAACTCACGAAATGCAAACAATTGCTTGAGTAGAGCCATTTTCCTCAACACTTCCGTGTGACTGCCTGAGCTGTGAAGATTTCGGCAATACTTGCTTACGTAATATGCATATACACGTATGACTACACTAGTACGATGTCTTACGATTCCCCCTGGCCTAGCCTCCCCTTAGCCCTGCAGCGGAGGCCGCCGCTCTGGCGCTCGGCCGTAGCAAGATCTTATGATTTGCGAGTCCCGTGAGGTGGCTAGACGAATCGGCCAAAAAATATTCGTCTACCCCCAAAATCGCCACTTTTTTCTAAACATGAATAAAGAGGACGGACGGGAAGAGCGCATAGAATCATGGCAGTAATTATGAAAGCATAAAAATTGGAATACTGATGGTACCAGTCGACATCACATCAATTTTGTTGCAAAGTAGTCAATATGTCCCTATATTTGAAATGAACAAAATTATTCATGCCCATTCAGATATTTTGTCCACTTGTATAATTTTAAAAATATTAAATTTTCATATCATGGGGGGGGGGGCGGGGGTGGGTAATTGTCATGGATAATTTTTCCTTAGGGTGCAGGCCTCATTAATCAGGGACAATTTTCATACAGACTTTATAATTAGAAGCATGTTACCCTCCTTTTCTACTATTCTCACTCTCTCGATCACTTCCTGCATCCCTCTCTCTTTAATTTGCAACCCATTCCAGTTTCCACTCTCCTTCCGAGGGCCGCCCATGACACGTACTACCACCAATGCCCCCTCCTTCAGATACCCACTAGACATGCTGGAGACAGTGCACAAAGTGCCTTTGCTTAGCTAGTCTTAAAGTACGAAAGGGTATATGTTGAGGAAAGAAGATCTTTGAAGGGAACAACTGTTATAATCCTGTATAGCAAAGCATGTATAATTTTAAATCTTTTCTTCGTTTGTTTAGATTGCAAATAATTATCAATCAAGATCCTATTAATCACTAATTTGTTTTTTTCTTCCAAATTTGTGAGAAAATATTTAGAGCCCAATCAGCCAGCCGGCGAATAAGCGGGGGGGGGGGGGGAGTAAATATTTAAGGCAGAATCAACAGCCGCCCACCCTCCCCCCCTTGAGCCAGGGGGAGTGCCCGTCTTCTTTTTTATTTAAAAAAAGTTTAAATTTACCTGCTTTTTTTGCCAGGGGAGGGGGCCCTCCCCCCTCCCCCCCCCCTCCCCCAGATCCTCCACTGGTATCAATGCCATTTTTATCTTGAAGTAGGTGATACTTTTGATGCTATGTTTTGCTCACTTATATTCCTCTCGCTTCATCTCAAAGGCCAGTGGCGGATCCAGGGGGGGGGGCGAAACGGCCGCGGCCCTCCCTATTGGCGGCGCAAAAAAAAAAGAGAAAAAAAAAAAAAAGGAGAAGAGAAGAAAAAAGGAGAAGAGAAAAGAAAGGAGAAGAGAAAAGAAAGGAGAAGAGAAAAGAAAAGAGAAGAGAAAAGAAAGAAGAGAGAGAGAGAGAGAGAAATAAAAAGAAGAAGATCTCCCCCCCCCCCCCCCCCACTTCACTCCCACTCCGGGGTCGGAGGGACCGATTTTGTGTTCCCAAAATTTCCGATAAAGGGTTACTTTTCACGCAACAAAGTCCGGCCCGTAATACACACAAATCCGGCCCGCACTGACTTAACACACCGAAGATAAAGGGGTGCTTTCAAACTAAGAGAGGGAACATAGTACATGCGCATACCCTAGATAACACTGAGTGGGTGGGGGGGGGGGGTGGGAAGGGGAAGAGAGAAGTCGGGTGAGAAAGGGGGAAAGACAAGAAAATGGCGCTAAGTGACAGTAACGACGAATAAGGGAAAAACTGTAATCGGGAGATTTGGGGTCATTCCAGAAGGCGTGGGAAACGTTATTGAATAGGGGGCCGGGCCGGCCGCATAAATTCCCCTCCCCCTCGCCCGATAACACAAAACTAAGATATGACGCTCCCGGTCGCGATTATTTCATGGTTGGTGTACAAATAGAACTTTTTTTCCCCTTTCATTTCTACTGACCTAATTATTGTATGCTATCAATATCATGATTGTTTCATTTCCCTTTAAAGCATGCGTAGCTAGGGGCGGTATAGGGGCAGTAAGAGGACATAGGACGAAAAAAGGAGCAGAAAAAGTCTAAAACGGTACAACAAATCATCTTCTTTCTCTAATAATTTAATGAAACGTTAAGCTTCTGCGCTTTGCGCTGCAGGGGGAAACTGAATTCAGAGAAGGATTAAGAGTCGGGAATGGAACAACGAATTCTTTCTCTAATAATTTCATTAAACTATGAAAGGTCAAAGCTTCCGCGCCTCGCGCGGAAGGGGGAAAATGAATTCAAACAAGGATTAAGAATCGAGAATGGGACAACGAATCATCTTCTTTCTCTCATAATTTAATGAAGCGTGAGAAGCTTACGCGCTATGCGCGGGAGGAGGAAAACTGAATTCAGACAAGGATTTAGAGTACTAGAATGGAACAACGAATCATCTTCTTTCTCTAATAATTTAATGAAACGTCAAAGCTTCCGCGCTTTGCGCGGAGGGGGGAAACTGAATTCAGACAATGATTAACAACATAGAACGGTACAACGAATCGTCTTCTTTCTCTAAAATTTAATGAAACGTTAAAGCCATACATGCCAACTTTTCAGATTAAAGAGGAACATTCCTCTTTTTGGGAGAAGATAATTATCATTTTAATGCAGGTGTTCCTCTTCCTGTACAAATTTGTCTGTAGTATTGAATAGGAGAGTTAGGATTGTTCCTCTTTTTTTTTTAAATAGCATAATTTGTACAGATTTCTGATTTTCAACTGATGTTGGCATGTATGCAAAGCTTTCGCGCTTCGCGCGGGAGAGGGGGGGGGGGGAGGATTAAGAGTCCAGAACGGTACTCTTTCTCTAATGATTTAATGAAACGTCAAACTTCCGCGCTTCGCGCGGGAGGGGTATGGAAACTGAATTCAGACAATGATTAAGAATCGAGAACGGTACAACGAATCGTCTTCTTTCTCTAATAACTTAATGAAATGTTAAGCTTCTGCGCTTTGCGCTGGAGGGGGGAATCTGAATTCAGAGAAGGATTGAGGGTCGAGAATGGAACAACGAATTATCTTTCTCTAATATCAATTAATGGAAGGTCAAAAAGTCCCCGAGCTCAACAGATGCACTAAACTCCTATGTTTAATGATGATACAAATCGTTTTAGATAAATACATGAAAATGTAACAGTAAATTGAGCCGATAAAACTACTAGCAGGGAGTTCTGCTATATACACTCAAGTTGATTGGGTCGAACAGGTGTGTTGGAGGGAGTCAACTGGGTCGGGTTGTCTATTGGTCGATCTGGAGATGGGTGATTGTCAGAGATCGAGAGCAAAAAAACAACAAATCTAGACCCACACCACCGCGCCGTCTGTCTTTTGGCTCTCTCTTTTGGCTCTGACTAGAGCAGAAAATACAAGTTTCATCAGTGTTAGCTCTTATTCAATGGCACAAACTGTCTTCTCTTCTTGATTTGCCTTGTGCATGTAAGTAACAAGCCTAAGTCTAGTCGTAATTTAGTTGTAGACCTATTTTTTTAAATTATTATTATTTTCTTTAATGTGTTGACAGCTTTGTGAGACAGTTTGTGTGTGACTTTCTGGATGTGTGTCTGTCTGGATGTGTGTCTGTTGATTTTGAATTTGGATGTGCAGCATCATGTGTGGTCGAACATAAAAATGTGTGTCTTTTGACAATTTCATGAAACTTATAGCACTGACCTACATTTAATTAGGTTTTTTTCCTTCGTCTAGGAGGACCTACAAAACAATGTACACATGACATGTAAAACTTGTCCTAAAATATCCTGCATCATCCTCCCATCATCCTCCCATGAACAGATAGGTCTAGAATAGATCTCGATCTAGACTAATTCTAGATCTAGACTAAATTCTGCACCCCCCCCCCCAGAATTAAAACTAAAAGTGATATTCTCGTACCCCTGTGAGCTGTATGTACAAGGACAATCATTAAAGGATATTATTATTAGGTCTAGTCTATGTAGTCTAGGACTTTAATACATGTATTTTTTACTTTTTTTTGCGTCACCTGAGCAATCTTTTTTTTTTTGTCCCGAAAATTTGCAAATTGCGTCGGCCGATAATTCGCTTGTTGGGGGGGGGGGGGGTGTTTGTGAGCACTAATTTGTTTTTTTTCCCTCAAAAATTTAAATATCGTACCCCCCCCCCCCCCCCCCTTGAGCACCAGGGGAGGGGGCCCGTCTCCAAATAGAGTTAACATTAACATGTTTTTACCTGCCCGCCACTGGGTGGTGACTCCTCTGTACAGGGCCTCAAGGCTCAATTTAACGTTTTGTCCGATTTGAATTTTTAAAATTTTTATACATTATAGACTTGTCTGTTTGAGTTGACTTATATAGAGACAGTTTGTGAGTCTGTTTGCATAATGTGTGGTCAAATTAAAAAAAATTAATGTGCGATATAGATGTCTTATGACAATCCATGCCATATTTTATGTTTAAGGATTTCCATCTCATGTACATGCAGATCAACTTATTTTTTGAAGGTGGTGCATAAATACATTACAAATGCATGACAAAATCTTTTGCCAGAGTACAATATAAGGAATTTATGAAATCAAATTATAATAACAATTGATGAAAAGTGAGGAATTGACATCAGAAACACTTTAATTAATCGTTATTTTGCCTTCAGTTTCCTAAATTATTGTTAATCAGAATATGAAATATGATTTTCTTATTGTCTGATATTTCTGTAACTGTCTATTTTTGCCATTTGTTTCTCTGAATTTCTGCTTTCATTAAATGCAAGTACATGTACATGTATGCACGAGGACCAGGGATACCATGTAATCTGGAGGCTGGAGTTTTTACAATGCGTTTATCACTGTGAAAAAAATTACATGGGATTGGTGAGCAATATAGGCTATATAGCTCTCAAAAGATCCAAAAGTACTCTGGTAAATTGAAACAGAGCTCTGGTAAAAAACAATTGAATACATATATATATAGATACTTAATATCAGTCTGCAAGAATCTTCAACTGTGTAGGAGGTACATGTAGACGTTACCCAAAGAAGAAGAATATTAATGTGAGAAAATTGCATGCATAATATGACACCATATTCTAAAAGTGCTCCTGCAAATTTTAGAAGTATTTTTACTCTGATTAATCAACATATAGCAGTTAAAGTCAGCATGGTGAATCATGTGACTCGGGATTAAAATTGGGCCTCCAGGTGGCTTGGTGTGCTGTCATAATATTTCTGCCATGGGGGAATGAGCACCAGGGTCTTTAAAAAGTGTTGTCAAAATTGCCTTGTTCCAGTTTGGAATCAATGTGGGTCAGGCAATGTGCATTTGCTTCTTTGGTCTTAAATCCTTTTAAAAGTTAAATTGTGCTTCGTGCTTCAGTATTTCATTATTTAAAATGATGCAATGTAACTAGGCTTCACAGAACATTGTTTCTATAGACAGGATAACCTTTAACTATTTTAGATGGCCTACTAACTTCTTGTGTCATGATATCCAAGTTCTCTCTGCTCACTTGTACACTGCGCCATTTAACATGCATAAGGGGGATATTAAAGGTGTTTATCTTGAATTGCGATCAAAAACTCAAAGGTTATGTACTTAACCCAAAAGGCAAGAAAAAATATTTATAAAAATATGCGTCAAATAAAAAATTGACAGCAGACTTAGATTTAAAAAGAAAAAATCCTGATAAACTTGATCCACTTTGTATCACTCTATAAGAAGGTTTCTTGAAACAAGGGATGCGAATGAAGTCAAGATTGTAATCATCAGAACGAAAAGAATCATAAATAAATTTTGCTTGTAATAAGCATTTCTTTGAGATAAGTTTGAGTTGATGTTTACACTTTTTTAACTGCCTATAGTCAAAGTAAATAAAAGAGCAATTGTTTTGGAATGAAAACACACATAATACATGTAGCTTTGACCCACATTCATTGCTTCAGCCGGACTTAGTACAAGAGGATTTTGACAATAGTTTTTGAAAATCCTGCTGTTCAGTCATCCTTGGCAGCACAATTTGAAAATGGTATCATTAGACAGGGTATAAGTTCTTCTTTACAATAAAATATGATTCAAGGTCATACAGGTTATAACTTTTTAATTAGAAGTTACCACAGTTGGGTAAACTTTTTTTTCGACATTCACTTTAGAGCTCAAAACTGAATTTTCTCTTGGGGCCCAGATTTAATTTTTGAGGGATCTGTATTCAGTAGCCCTCTGTCAAAATTCTGAAATTATTTTGGGCCCAGAGTTATAGTTTGGAGGACTGTACCTACATACAACAGATTTTACTTATAGATATCTTGTATTATTTTATGCAAGTACAATGTAGAGAAAAGTAATTTGTTATATATTTCTAGTGTGGCCACAAAACAGGGAGACTTCAACTTGTAGGTTGGGGGGAGGGGCACAGGAACCGCCCTCCTAAACTAATGCCATCTGAAAGATCTAGTCTACATTGTACATGTACATGACTTTGATAATTCATTGTAAGGACAGGGACTTGAAAACTTTAAAGAACAATTTAAAAAAAGTTGTGAGTATACAGTGTAGGTCAGTGTACATACATTTGATATTTCAACAGACAAACCTGAAGATGGAAAACCCAGTCTAGCACCCTAAATGAAGTTGTGAGGAAAAAAAACAGCCCCATTTTTGCTTAGTCTTTGACACTTGCACTGTGTACAGTATGTGGATGTGTGCATGTGCACTACCGGTATATATTGTTGAAGAGTTGAGTGATGAAAATGTATGTTTGTGCCAAATGTATTTATAACACTTCTCGTTTAGTAATGAAGTTACCACGGTTTCCCTCATTGGGACTGGAAATTTCCATCCGCGTCGCTCGCATTCAGCTTCTAAGAATTTTAAAAAGAAACAGATTAGGTAAAACATTCTAGGAGTTTTAAAGAGAATATTGAGAGCTGATAATGATGAAAAATGATTTTTGCACTCTTTCAGCCTTGTATATATTTAAGTACGGTATGGAAGAGTATAGTACACTAATAGAAATGTTTCCTTGAAAAGGATTGCTTTGTTATCATATTCAAAATGTGACAAGAAATTGCTGCTTGAATAAGTATGTTGAATACAATTTTCAAAATGCATTGGGGAGGGGGGTCTCCTCCTTCCCTTTACCCTCCCCTTTCTCCCTCTTTTTCCTTTCCCTCTACCTCTCCTTCCTCTCCCCTTTCCCTCTCTCTTTCCCTTTCCCCCTCCCCCTCTCCCCTCCCCTCCCCTTTTTCGTTTCCCTTTCCCTCTCTCCCCTGTCCTCCTATCCCCCGCTCCCCTTTCCCCCTCCCCCTTCCCCAGCATCACACACTTATGTATTTTAGTGCTCAGGCAACTAGAACAAACTTTTATCAAATTAACATTGCCAATTTGTGATACAGAGCCCTACTGTCTGTGACCATACAGTTTTGTAGATTGAATTAAAATAAAATATTTGTGTATTTCTGTATCTGTAGTGAATTACTCTTATGATCACACTTTTCTGTAGTGAATTTCAAACGATCTCACTAAAATAGCAAGAACAGTGTCATGTTCTGAAGAAAAGACAGCAGTGTAATTTTAACCAATTATATGTTTATGCTCACATGTACAGGTGTACTGAACGTGTACATGTACATGTATGAAGTGTTGACATAAAAAATGAAACTTTATCCAACAAATACCTCATACAGTGAATATGCAAGTACTGGTACCTATAAATGTGTTAAAGGGCTTCTGTATTTTAGGATCACAAGCATGAATTTGATGACTCTAATGTCATGACTCCAACCAAATGAAAGTTGCAGTGCATTTTGAAAATGTTATGTAAAGGGGCGATTAATTTTACAAGATTTATTGTGCCTCACAGCAGTGCCGAAGTATGTGTCACTCCTGAAATGTCTAATTCATGATGAAAATGATATGGGAAACTACAATTCCACTTCTAGACCACCTCTAGGCCCAATTACCGATGACATACTGATCTGAGAGAAATATATATTTTTTTAATCACTTTGGTTTTGGTTAAAAACAAAGAAATAAAAAAATAAAAAACAAGTAACAACCAAGTTGCACATTTGATACTGGTTGGTAAAATGTTTAAACATCAAACTCGTCTACACATACCGGTATGTAGACTAATGGTAAACCCTTGGTCATTTCATGTAGTTAATTGTATTACATTGCTATTTCTTGTATTAATATTATTATTATAATCATTATTGTTGTCATCAATAATTTTGGAGAAGAGGCAAGCTGTCAAAAGGAGGTAAATGCTGGAGCCTTCCTTGTTATCCCCTCATGTATATGGTACAATTTGCATATCTATTCTGCTAAAAAAAAGCCTCAGATGAAGTACAAGATGTAGTACTTCACATTTGTGTGTGGGACAGTCAATAATAACATTTATTTTGCTTTGCCGCACCATATTGGGATGGCTTGAAAAAATCCATGTACATACAAATGTATGCCCTCCTACTGCCCTTCCTCTTCAACTCTAATCCATTCCATGTCTGTATGTCTTACATACTTGAGATAGATGTTTCCTCCAAGCTTGTCTTACTGGCCTGTATCCTGTGATGATTCACACTATAGTCTATACCCCTAGTCTATACCCCTAGCAATGCCAAGTTCATAGAGTTCAACCCATGGATTCTGTGTACTCTTCCTGTAGGGAGCCTTGACCCAATTACCATAAAGCCTGCATTGTGTGGAGCCAACGACTCTGTTGTTACACCCCAAATACTATATGACATGTAGATGTGGTTATAGAAAGCGTCTTAGTACAGCAGGGCGGTGAACGGTGTTGCTCTTGTTTTATTTTTCAGGAAGGCATCATGGACAGGACAGGGGAGAGGGTGACATACAGGTGTAGACTTTGTAGACAGCAGTTGTTTGATAGCTCTTGTGTCCTCAATACAAGCACCTATCATCACCAGGACGCAGTTAGCTCTGTACCAGAATGTCTACTGGGCCAGTCAGCCGCAGCCTCTCCGACATGGTCTCTAGCCAGCAGCATGCAGGGCTCGGCCAAGAGCTTCAATGCACTCCTCACCCAAGGGAAGACAGGTGGGTCGTCTAATGGTGTACTTGCTCCATATGGCCCGGTCTTAGCCGGACCCAACCCACTATGGTTCATCAAGGAAGACTCAACGCCTCCTTGGGTTCAGAGAACATTGGATAAGGTTTGTAATTATTTATTTCACCATTCATATTTCATATACATGTAAACAACAGCATTTCATTTGAACTACTAACCTTTGACTTATTTAGGCTAGTATTCGTCAGTGCCACACACATGTTCCTTGTATTACTGCGACTGAAAATCTATTTTAGATGAGCTGTTAATAGTACTATGTCCCATTTGCGGGCCAAAAAATGAAAACGTTAAATTACAACGACATTTGAAAGACAGTACTAATCTTGAACTTCTCTCAAAACAAAAGGGCTTGAAAATGGCTTTAAGTGGGAAAATAACAACCATTAGTTGTCAAATCGACTTAAGTGATTGCAATCATAAATAATAGTCTGATTTTGTCTGTACTTATATAAATTTCACTTTTTAAGAGACCAATTCATGGAACTTGCATGCCTCGTATTTCTTATTAGCAGCTAGCATACTGTAATGAGTTATCACATGATCTGATTTCTGATACCACATGAATGACATTCCACACTGTAAAAAGCTTACTATATGTTGGCAACCTTAGTTTATGCCATTCCTTTTTCAACTTTCAAAGTTTAAGTGAATGTATTTATAGTGTTTTAAAGTATATCTAAGATTGAAATCTCCGATCAATACACACATCAGTTACGGTGCTTGTATTAAATATACGGTCCCTTTTGCACCCAACATCAAATTCTGTAGAACTTTGCAGGAATTAAGAATATGTCATGTACATGTATGTCCTATCTGTGAAATTTAAGCATTAGCAGTGTCCTTGTATTAACATTATGCAAGAAACCTGTTTACCTTCTAGACTTCACTGTGACACTATTGAGTGATTGACTGACATCTATCTTTTTTTGTCAATAACATACATACATACAATGAGCTGAAACAGGTACATAATCTGGGGCTGCTCAGTGGCTGCCGGGCTCACGATCAATTGGGCAAAAAGAATTTCTGTTTCGGTTTAATAAAATTTGGAGTGGACTATTAGGCTATTATTATTATTATTATTATTATTATTAGAGCATTTTTTTTACATCAATAACCCACTACTTGTAGTGGCCAAAATTAAACTGATTGAATCTTTGTGCCATTCAGTAAAAGGTTTTCAAAATCAGACTATTATTTAGATGATTGCAATCACTTAAGTCGATTTGACAACTAATGGTATGTACTCATACCTAGTAACCTACATGTGCACCGAGTGTAAAAACAAATCATTTACAGTGTATGTGAAAGACATTAAGATCCTCCTGGTATAATGAAGAAAAAATGTATTACCTTTTCTTTAGCTCATTCATGTAAAAGAAACAAAATATCTTTATTGATAAATAGTGAACTACCGGTACAGGCAATTGGGGAGATAAGTGCTAAAACAATTGTCACATAAATCTGAAATTTTCTCAAGTTTGAAAGGACAATCCCTAGCCTTGTTTCCAAAGAAAATATGAAGAATAGAGATCAGTAAATAATTTTTAACACGTTACTTAAGTGCCCATTAAATTTCACACAGAAAATGATGAACATAAACATCTATATGTCTGAACCGATTCTTGTAGCCATGACAAGTCATTCACTCCTGACCCAAAGGTACAAGGGACTTATAATGCCCTCCCATATGAGTATCAAATCACTTTTTAGTAGGGTTCTTTGGCAGCACCTTCTCTCTTGGGCTTCATGCTCTATGTATCTTCTTGGTCAATTACATGTACATCTACATGCCAAGCACTCTGCATCAGTAAATATGGAGCAATGGGAAATTTCCCTAATGCTCATGTACTGTATTTGTAGTATTTGTAATCAGGAAATCCATGTGCATATACATGTATATTGTACATAATGTGAGGATGTTCAATAAGGTTTTGGATTGAAAATATCACTTCATTCTTCTTTGTGACTTCATCTGAGTATCTGAATGCTGGAAGGAGGGTAAGCCCTGCTTATTTTTTTTTAATAGTTTTGTCTTTGCTAGTATAACAATCTTTAGTCTTATGCCTTTTTTCTTATCTCTGCAAAATATGAAAAGGAAACAACTGGCACACAATAAGTGCAATGTTATGACTTTTCTATGATTCTTTGATTTCTCTGGCATAATTTTTTGCAGTTCCAGTGGAAAAAGGGAAAGCTGTCGTGCCCTAAATGTCATGGTCGTCTCGGTTCATTTGACTTTGTCACACCCTACAAGCTACAAGACAGCAGTAAAAAAGTATCTCACATTCACGTCATGAGGAGTCGAGTGGATTGTGAGTCTTCCTCACCCGTTGTTGCCAGGATTCGTCCCATGCCTCAAAACCCACGAGATGTTAGCCAGAGCAACGACCCTGATGAAACAACTTCTTCAGCACAGATAGAAATATCAGTAGGAGGAGCAGAGAGTCTCCCGCATCCATCAGACAATGATTCAGCCATCCCTGTCACTTCAGCATCTCTCTTGCCTTTGCTAACAGACCAAACCTCAAGACAATTCTTGCCAGAAACATTCTCCTCAGCATCAGACGAAGAGATTTTGTCAAACCTACCCGTCTCAGCCAACTACCAAAGAGCTGTGTCTTTATCCCAGCCTTTGGAACAGCAGATACACCATGTCACCTGCCGCACAACAAGTTCATCAGCAGAACAACCCCGTCAACCCTCATCTTCTAATTGTAGAATAGGAAGACCTACTGCAGGATCATTACAAAACATTTTCAGTTTGCAGTCAGGTGATCTTGATGGTGTCCGCTGTAGGGTAAACAGAGGAACTGTTCCTGTTGATAAGTATGTTCCATTTGGAATAGATAGCGGACATGCAAGAAATGATTCTGATGCAACAATGAAAAATTCACCCAAAGAGAGAAGTGTTGCCTATGTTGCAGGCACTAACAGACTAAACAATAGAGTGGCTCAAAACCTCTTGACAGCATCCCAACCCAGTACATCCAGTGATAATTTTAGTCCTTATAGAAATCAAAACCAAAGACACAATCAGCAAGAGCAGACATGGCAATATGATAACCATTCAGACGAGCTTGATGATGATGATAGCCATGATGAAAGAGTGCAATATTGCCCAAGTCAGTCATCTTCAAGTGGCAGTTCTAGTTCTACAATCGTCTCCAACTCCAGATCACTTGATATTTCTGCCAACATCTTCAAGAACAGTCCAGCATTCCTTAGGCCACTCATTACCAGTACATTTTCTTCAGATAGAACCAGGATTCCTACTCCTTCACCTCCAAGCCTTTACTCACCAGTCCTTCAATCTTCAGAACAACCTGACAGAACCACACCCACACAGAGAGAAATGTCTCTTGCCGCCCAAGGCACATCTGGTAGAGACTCAGATGATGAAGATGATATCATGGTAGCACCACTAAGTGGTGCAAGGCAGAGGAGTCCTAGAGAGCAGAGAAGAGAAAGGAACAGGAAGAAGAAGGAGAGAAGGAAACAGAGGAGGTACGAGAGATGGTTGGAAAGACAGACACTTGGAGCTGAGGAAGAATCAGCCATTCAGGTAAAGACTAATGCATGCCCATCAAAGTAATCAGATATTTGTCAACCTTCGCACTCTTGAAAAATGAAAATCTTAATGGAACATAAAATTTTACCAATTGTATAATGTGGAAAATTAGTTCAGCATGCAACACCAAGCATGTGTAGGATTATGAAATAAAGATTAGAGTACTATAGATTACTGGCAATTTTAATAAGATCCATGCATAATCATTATCATTTTAAACAATCAAAAAAGGTCAGTTATCAAATGGATTTACCACCTGCTTAGATTACAAATTCTGTCCTATGAGATTCTTGAAGATGAATAATTATATTTGTGTACCTGTATGAAATACTATTCTTTACTTTTCAGCTTGATCTTATGGGGCACATTTGTTCATTGTTATCATTGGTCTGATATCTTCTGATCTAGGACATCAGTGCAGCAGGCCTGTACTCACTGCTTGGACCACGTTGTGCTGGTAGCTCACTGCGGGAGGTCACCACATGCTCGGTGTGTCTGGATATCTACTACCAGCCCCACACTTGCTTCCCGTGTGAACATATCTTCTGTGAGCCCTGCCTGCGTCAGGTGACACGCTTCCACCCGGTGGTCACCCCCTGTCCACTTTGCCGGACTACCATCAGGAACGTTAAGCTGCATGATCGTGAGTATCACTCTCAAGTTGTGTTCAAATATGATACCATAACCTTCTTTTCACAAATTTCTCTATCTTATCCCTGCATAGAAGAAAATTTGTATGATCACAATTATTTAGATTGGCTTATTTCACCTGCAATTTGGTAGGCAAAGTAACAGAGCTTTGATGGCCAGGGGCAGCCAGTATAAAAAGATATCTTTAATGCAACTAAAAACAACTAAATTTTAAATTAGTTTATTTTGGACTTAATATGTGTATGCCAGTTCTAGGATTTTGGATCAAGTAGTCCTTTACTTGAATGTTGTTTATATGAATAAGGCTGTACTGCTATCCTTTGTGATTATCGTTTCCTACCACAGAACTGACATCCGCTGTGAAACAGCTCTTCCCTCGCCAATTTGAGAACCGGCACCAGATGGAACGTCGTACTCTGAACCGCTCCTTCCCTCTACCGGGCAACTCCAACCTTCCTCCGTGGTACCGTATGGGTTACCAGAACAACCGCAACCAGGTGGACTTCCTCGCGTCCCGTCGCAATCCTGGCTATGTGCATGACTGGGGTATGCGCTATCTCCAGGGTATTGTGTGGAGGGTTGTTGCGTCAACTGCGGTGCTGCTTATTGTGTCTGGTATTTCAGTCGGATTCTTACATTTTATGTTTGATTTTTCATAGGAGAAACAATTTTTGTGCATATTGTACCCTCATGTTGAGGCGTAGGTTGATGTAATCAATATGCAAGTAAGTTTGAGTTCATATTGTGTTTGTGACAGCACCAAATCATTTATGTATTTGTGACGTGTCCGAGAGGATTAAAATCTTATAAAGGTCTTTGGTTATTGCAAATGTATGATGTAGACTTAAAAGCCTTTAGTTAATATGAAATTTTTGTCATTTAAGTGCAGAATGAAATGTGATAGACCCGCAGTAAAGGCTTTTTAAAAGTAAGTTACTTTTTTATAGGTCCAGGGGCCCGTTTCATAAAACTTTTGACTTATGACATTAACAAATTTGATATCTCTAACAAATCTAATTGTGACTATGGCAATATCAAAGATGCCAACCTTTAGCTCTTGTTCTGGCGTTACGGTAAACAACCAAATGGTTACGGGAAACGATAAAAAATAAGTACATTATAACGTATGCCGTCAATCTACACATGGCCTCCGTACACAGCTCTGTACGGCGCTGTATGTCGCACGCATTCACTCACAAGTTCACTGAATTTAACTACATTGGATGGTCACTTTCGCTCGCTACACGCTTATTGTGCACTTAGTCTATGATGCCACCAGCAGACCGTCCGCCGCCATCTTGTTTAATTCCGAAACAACGCTGCCGCCATTATTATTGTTTTAATACTAGTATTCTTTGAGCGGTTGTGTGTTTTGGGGGAGCATGATGGTGGATGATCGTGTGCGCGGCGCCTGCAATCTTTACCCAATCTTGACCATTGAAAGGATTTATGATAAGGCGAGATCTCCACAGATGAGATCTGCAGCATGGTCTTACTTTGATACATTGTAATCTTCTGCGTTGGCCTCATCAGTCTCTCCTTCTCTCCAATAAGCTATTCGGTAAGTCCCACTTCTTTTTAACTCCTCAAACTTTCCATAGTATAAAGTCCTTTGTTGCGCCTCGCACTCGGGAGAAGTTTGTATAGAAGGCCAAGAATGTGAAGTTCAAACTTGGCAACAGGACATGAAAAGTCATGCAGTAATGCACTCTGCAAGCCAGAGGTCTGTCGATGTTTAAATCAACATTAGGTCTATATGGGAAGGGAGGGGTTTGTGGCTGTTGGGGGTACCGGTAGAAGGTGGAGGGTGGGTAGGTCTTGGTGGGGCTGTAGGCCTTTGTGGGGTCGCCGTTGCTGCTGTCCATTGTTGTGGGCATTCGCTAGCAAATCGCAATTATAGCATTGATTATGTCTAGGAGGGCCTCTATTTGAACGGGGACTATTTTGCCTTAGGTTGTAGTTACTCTGCCTCCCTGTTTTCTATATTTTGGAGTTGCTTCTCCAATTCTTTTACCTTGCTTTTGTGGTACTCGAATAAGCCTGGGCCCTGAATTGGTTGCTAGGGGGTCTACTTTTGGGAGTTGGTGTGGGGGAGGAGTGAAATTTGTCAAAGTCTTCAGCTTCTTGTTCTGCTGCCCTCCCTTGTCTTCATTAATTCATCAAAGTCCAATAGTGTTTCATACTTATGGCGAATTGCATGTTTCACCTTATCATTGGTTAAACCCTTCCAAAATACGACACGGAGGGTCTCTTCTCGCGCTGTCGGGGAAATACCCCTTCTCTGTTCGGCTTTGTGGATTGCTAATTGGAGTCTTCCACTATAGAAAGCAATCGATTCCAGGGGTCCTTGTTTAGCCCCATACAATTGTTGAAGTAAGACTGCCCCAGACTCTACAGTGCCATACAGGCCTTCCAACTTATCCACAATGTCAGTCACTGTGGCCCTAGCCTCCATGTGTATTTCAATTTGGCCCACTTCACCCCTGAGTGAGTGCCTAACCATGAGGCCGGGTGCTTCTTCATTGTAATTTTTGTCATGTGACAAGCATTCTACTTTGTATTTCCAGATTTCAAAGGGAACCTCCCCTCCTTTAATTTTGGTATCCCCAGAGAACAGAGATAGTTTCTCCGGAGTTTGTAGGACTACTTGTGTATTCATATCCTGAACTATGCGCTTTTACTCCTGTATTGAGCACTAGAGCTGATCTCAGTACTTCTTTTATACTTAGCTCTTTTTCCTCAGCTCTTTTCCCTCACATGTCTTTCCGTCTATTGCTAAAGCTTGACCAGCCTCATGTATTGATTTGAAAGTACAATATGCCTTGCCTGTGAATTCTTGGGTAAGAGAACCCTTACCAAAGGCAACATTCACTAATTTGATATCTTTGAAAAATTTGCTGAGTTTATTTTCTCCCCCATCTACGAGGTTATCTACACACTGTACACTGTACAGTGACCCTTCATGGTTGCCATTCTGTAATCTTACTTGACTGTACTGAAATGCAATGAAACTCAATAATAATGTCACTGGTTGTTCAGCAAACTAATTTCAAAATTTGTTTGAAATCGAAACACATGCAGTTACTCAACAGAAACAAATAGACTTAAGGAGTGAGAGGTGCATTTCCTAATTTTTTATATCTAGTAATAATAATAATAACTAGAAATTTAATTCGCCATTGAGACATATAATTACGATTACAAATCTTACATTCTGCATGATTTTGTCAGAAGCGCTTACAAATGGCTATATGAATATCTATCTACATATTATTTGGAACAGTCAAATGTTAGCATAATTAATATATTGCAAAATATCACAAAAGTTGACCTAATATGATACAAACAAAATTACTTAAATGACACCTATCTGTGTTTTTGATGACAAAAAGATTTCAATAATAATGAAAAACAAAACAATTATGAAGTATGATGTATATAGCTTTTGCACAAAATACACCTGATCACACAATATGATACAAACAAAATTACTTAAATGACACCTATCTGTGTTTTTGATGACAAACAGATTTAATTAAGAATGAAAAACAAAACAATTATGAAGTATGATGTCTTTTGCACGAAATACACCTGATGACACGATATGATACAAACAAAATTACTTAAATGACACCTATCTGTGTTTTTGATGACAAACAGATTTCATTAAGAATGAAAAACAAAACAATTATGAAGTATGATGTATATAGCTTTTGCACGAAATACACCTGATGACACAATATGATACAAACAAAATTACTTAAATGACACCTATCTGTGTTTTTGATGACAAACAGATTTCATTAAGAATGAAAAACGAAACAATTATGAAGTATGATGTATATAGCTTTTGCACAAAATACACCTGATCACACAATATGATATAAACAAAATTACTTAAATGACACCTATCTGTGTTTTTGATGACAAACAGATTTCATTAAGAATGAAAAACAAAACAATTATGAAGTATGATGTATATAGCTTTTGCACAAAATACACCTGATGACAGAATATGATACAAACAAAATTACTTAAATGACACCTATCTGTGTTTTGATGACAAACAGATTTCAATAAGAATGAAAAACAAAACAATTATGAAGTATGATGTATATAGCTTTTGCACAAAATACACCTGATCACACAAACAAAATATGAAAATGAGTACTAGCAATATTGATTACTCAAATCAAGCCAAATTAGGAATCATAACATTCAAGACAATGTGTGCTGTCATTTAAAACAAAATTGATAATCAATGCAGTACTGCTATCAGTGATTTTTTGTTTGTGGTTCTGCTTAGACATTAGACTAGCAGGCTATGTGCTGCCCTCTGTTGCTGAGAATCGAACCATGCATTTGCTCATTGTTGTCTATGGTACAGTGGTAGTAAGAAGTAGAGCAGTACAGAGTAGCACATTTCAAATTTTAGCCTTGTGATCTCTTTTAATCAAGGCAATAGCCCTACTAAAGCTCATATATATATATATATATATATATACATATATATATATATATATATATACATATATATATATATATATATATATATATAAAGCTCTTTTTTGTGCGACATCGTGGTTTACCCAAGCACCAAGATGCAATTGTTTGTCCGAGCTGACGAGACCCACACCCTTGAGGTGACTGGTGAAGAATCTATTGCTGATCTGAAGGCTAAAATCCAGGAGAACTCTGTCCGGCTTCTCAGCCTCTGAGCAGGTCCTGTCCTGCTGTGGCACACCCCTGGATGAGGACATCACCCTCTCCCAGAATGGACTCGTTGACCTCATGACCCTTGAGCTCTCTGGACGTCTGCTCGGAGGAAAAGTTCACGGCTCCCTCGCTCATGCTGGTAAAGTGCGAGGTCAGACCCCCAAGGTTGACCCCTAGGAGAAGAAGAAGAAGAAGGTCGGACATGCCAAGCGCCGCATGCAGTTCAATCGCCGATTCGTCAACGTTGTTCAGACCTTCGGCAAGAGGCGTGGACCCAACTCCAACTCCTAAGCTGTCATTCCCTGCTGGAGAATGTTGCATAAAACAAATTGTAAAATAGTCGATGTGTTGAAATAGTCGAAATAGACCAAATATACGGTGAAATGACATGTCTGAAGTCCATTTATGTTTAGAACTTCACAATACTTGCTAATGTACATGACATGTAGTGAAATAATGCTTGCAGCTAACACTTTTTAAACAATATTGGATTGCACACTGATGCATACTTGACAAGCTTCAAGAGTTTGCTAAACATAATAAATAAAATAAAATCTCATCTCATCAAGAAATCATATTACTAAATTTCTTTGAAATGTTTCTTGGACAATACAAGTAGAGATTAAGATGAAGATGTTAGATGTCGCATTTTTCTACGAACAGAAGTGAAGATGTTTTTTTTAGGCAAAAGTAATCAAACATCACAAATCTGGATTTATTCTACTTCGCTCAGATCTGTTGAAAGATCTGTTGAAATATCTGCAGCCTGCATATTGACCACTATTTTCTTGAGGCCTTCAGACAGAATCATCACTTTCACTGAGCACGGAATCGTTGTCAGGTCAACAGATATGATTGATGTGGCTCTAAAATTTGTTCATTTCCGTTCTCGGAGTCCTCAGCAATTACATCATATGGAATGTTTAGCCTGTATGTGCAAAAAAAGAAGAGAACAAACAAAGAATACAATTTTTTTTTAAATTACACAAAAAAACATGTTTGACAATCACCAATTTGATTCCTACCTCTTATTTCATACAACAAAATTAAAATATCAAGTATCATTTTTCAAAACTGGCAATTCTGTCATCAGTAGTGTGTCAGTAAATTACGAGTCATCAATTATCTTATTATATGAGAACGTTGAGAATTTGTGAGAGTGCTACAAAATGACATTAATAAATTGTATTATAGCGTATACCTTTTATTTTATTAAATTATATTTTCCCTTTGAGAATCCAATATCCTCATACCTTTAGCCAGGTTTTGATGTGAGTAACATGATCACAAATGCATCCACCAAAAAAGCGTACATTAAAATCTTAAAATTGGTTCTACAAAATAAAATATTAATATTGAATGAATATGAATTTAAGATGCCATACAATTACTTTTTATTTAGTAAAGCAATTTTTTAAATATTTTTATAAACAACTCTACAAATGTATTACCATCAACATCGATTCAGTAAAGATAAAAGAAATAAAATATTAAAAAAGAAATGGAATTTTTAAAACAATACAGTAACTATAAATAAACCAATAATGTGTTCAAATAATCAACATCTTAAAATAATGCCAAAGCTTTGATAAAATTGCAATTAGCTAGTGATTACAGCTTTTTATGTCATTAAAAACCTTTTTTTTGTAGTTGACCCGATATTCTTGAAATTTGTTTGTCTCATTTTCCAAATTGTTTTGAGAGCTCTGTGACCTTATAAGCATAGATAAATATGAAACATTATTAATGTACATACCCCTCATCCGAGACAGCCATTACTACAGCTTGAAATTCGGTGTTTTCTACGACCGCCTGCATGTTAAAAAAACAAAAAAACATTCAACACAATAATACATGCACATTTATTTCAACATCGGTACATATACAAAACATACAGTTACTAAAATAACTATTAAAGATACAAGTAGGCCGACAAACAATTGTCAATATTCACTACGATCCAACCCTCCACCCCCCCCCCTTCCTCTAAAGAACAAAACAAAAACAAACACTATGATTCCATTCACTCGAACCGGATCCAGCCGCTCCTTCTCGATGTAAGATGTGTGAGCATTGGACTTCTTGCCCATCAGGCTGCGTCTGATCACTTCCTCTTTCCTGAAGAGTGCAACAAAAAGGTTCCTAGCCAGGTTTGTCGCAGAGTCGCTGGCCTGAAGAACAGCCATCAGTTTCACCTTCTCCAACAGCACACCATTCCCAATGTCCACCTGGATAACAGAAAACACACAAATAAAATTCAAAACCCTAAGTATGCTACATGTAGCAGACTTGAGACAACAGACTATTTGACTATAAATGCAGCCACCAGTAGTAGAAGCCATTACTGCAGTGGTTGTACGCATGTACGCATTAAACACTTCTTACATAAGTGGAGCATTGTGACTTGTTGTAAAATGCACATGTGCATGCAAGAATGAATGCTACGTGCTACAATGAATGCGCTGCCAACCCAGTAATGCTGCCTTATAGGATTAGACTACAAATCTTACCATAGCAGGGTTCTTCCTTACAGTATCCGGAGTGGATATGATGGGAGTTGTCGGCCTTGATGATCAAGGGGGTGGCATCGACGATCCCAAGCTGGCTGGAGGCCTGTAGCTCAGAGTTGTAGGTGGTTTATGGGACACAGTCTTTTAAAAAATGCCTGTGCAGTCCTCCAAACGGTTCATGACTTTTTGCAGGTCTGCAGCACAAACAAACAAATTATCATAATTAGTATAAAACAACAGTTACATTTTGATATGTTTTCTGTACAGAAACCGATTTCTATAAAGAATCCTTAAAAGTTCTATAGAATTCTATAAAAAAAATTTGTTAGGGTAATGTCGGTGTTAGCATTATGCAATTACATCTCAAATAAATAATTTCTGCATATCTTTTAGCAGTTCACTGACAGTTTTATCATAAACTTGAAACCCCAACTTCTTATCTCAGCCAAATTTTTTCATTCCGCCTTCTCTTTGACCAAAATCTTGAAATCGCCGTGGCTGCAGCTGGTCATGTCTCTACTTCAAACTCTTCTTTTCTCCTTCCCAGTTTTTGCCCCTCCCTTTATAAGGCCTTTTTTACTTTCAAACGTTCTAGTTTAGCCTTTAATTCAGCCTTTTTTGCTGCTGTTTCAATCAAAGAGCTGGTCACACTGCTAGCCGACTTTGAGTCCTTGATACTTGCGACTATCAAACATGGTTACTCAGCTGGACAAATATCTGCTTTCGTGCAGAACAGCTGTTGCCAGGGCAAATGAAATGCCATGAGATTGGGGTAAAGCACCTTGAGTGGTGTGTAAAAGTCTCTGAATACTCTTACAACATCCTCTGATGGCTTGATAAGCCCCCCTCGATTCTTCCTTGTCAGCAGACCACCACCTGCATTCACCTTGTCTGACGTCAGAGCAGCTTGGCATTCAGGACATGTTATTCTTCGCTTAGCCATTCGTAGCACATACCCTGCGATATACTTGATTGCTGCATGGTCAACGGATGACAGTTCAGAGATGTTGGGTACGTCACAGTAATCATGTTCATCTTTGCATGGCTGGCGTTCTTCAAGATCATACTTGTGGAGAAGTAGCATGTCTCTGCCTACCAGTTCCTCGTCAAGGTTTCCTGCTTTGATACATGGATACTTGGCACTGGATACAAACTGGATTGGTGTCTTGCTTTGTGCTGTGCAGTTTCCGTTTTGCCCTTGTATCTCATGACGAACTAGGAGCCTCTTGTAGGTCGATGCAAACTGACGTGCAGTGGGATTATTGCTGCTTCCATTAGCAGATCTGACCGCACAAGCGAAGAGCTCTAGATGGTCTTGAGACAGCTTGTAAGTCAGG